AATATTTTGTTTTTATTTGATAACTAATGATGAGGAAGCATAATTTCATATTTTTGTTAGTCATTTATATTTTTCTTTTGTGAATTGCCTAGTCCTGTCTTTTGCTATTTTTGAGAAAAATTAAATGTACCTTTTTAAGATTGATTTGTAATGCCTTCTGAAATAGAAATAGTAACCCTTTTTAGAGCCATTGAGTGCCTCCTATTAATATGTGCTGGTGCTGGGAACATATTAGTAAACAAAACAGATACAGATCTTATGGTTTAATTGGACAGGTACTGAACAAATGGTTAGAGGCAAAACTATGTAATTAAAATTGTGTTCAGTGCTTGGAAACAAGAGACTCTAAACCTGAAGTAGAGATTAGAGGGCACCTGTACAAAGTCCTTGAAATGTGGAAGATTGGATGATTTAGAGGGAAAGATCCAGGTGGCAAGAAAGGACTGAGCAAAGGGCACATAGTGTAAGTTTTGGGAGTTGGAGGAGCTCCGGAACTTCCCGAACCTTAAAGGCCGTGCTAGGGTTTTCTTCTTCATCCTCAGTGTTGTTGGAAAGTTTGGAAGATTTATAGGCTGGAGAGTGGCAAGATGAAATTTGCATTTTTATGAAAATGATTAATACAGAGAGGCAGCGAGCACTGCAGGGAGAGTGAATGAGAAGTGGGGAAGGCGACAAGTATGTCAGAAAGCAGAGGTGGCAGCTCTGCAGTGAGGAAGATGGTGGTGGTCACGTCATGGGTGGCCACTTCATTGTGGAGGAAACCGAGCAAGTCAGGGAAATGTTTCCCTTGAGAAGGCATGTTAATGTTATTGTAACCGGGTATTTTCTTGGGTGCTGGTGAGGGACAGCTCCCCCGAGAGAATGCTGTGGGTTCTTGGTCTCCAGTCTCTTAAAGACTAAGCGATGGAACCACTGCAGGTGCACAATATGCTCATAAAGTAAATATTGGAACCAAGAAGTGTTGCAGAAAGGTGATTTTATTTAGGTAGAGAAAAAAGAAGAGAGAGACTTCCATGAAGCGTGTGGAAGGGGATTCCAGAGGGGAAAATCTCAGAGGGAAAAGGGAGCTCCCACCATGTGGGAGAGGATTCCGGAGAGCTGGAAATCCAGTGCTGGTGAAGGAGGAGGGGAATTTATCCTGGGAGAAATTCCTACCTTCCCAAGTTCCTCTGGCCAATGAAAAGAGTTCCTTTAAACTTCCGCTGGGGTGATTGACTCTTAGTTTCTTCCTGCGCTGGCGAAATTCAAACATAAACCCTTCAATCTCCCAGATGGAGAGAGATGGGTGGAGGGCATGGCACTGGGAAATTCTTGCCCTTAAAACTACACCCCCCTCGTGGACCCGGAAAGAGAGCACCTTCTCTCATTATGGCTGGTTCTTCTTAGCTGTCATTTAGGCCAGTGGCCTGTGTTGACTTTGCTTAGTTACATTACACAGATGGTTTAGTTTTGTCCTAGAGGGGAGCAGTGATGGTCTTTTTGTGGTGTTGTGCCCTCCTCCTTTTGAGAAAAAAAGTTTTATAGCATGTAATTAGGATCTTTCACTTCTCAGAGTAATTGCAGAGCAATAATAAGGCACTTCCTCTCTGCAGCCTAGAATGTCATACATTTTTTAACTTAAGGTAGAGACATGTATTTTATCTATGTGATACTGAGATCTCAGTACATTGTGGTGCTCTAGTAAGGTTTGCTGGTTATCTGGGTTATGTTCTATTTATTTGGATTTTTTGCTAGTTGTTAGAATTTTTCAGTATTAGCTACCATAAATTATGAATCTAATCACTTGCCTGATAACCTTCTGATAAATAATTATAACAAAATAAAATTTTCAGGCTGAAGAATGAAAGTTTGATAGAGGTTTTTATAATTTGGTTGTTAATTGCTTATGTATTTTGTACATTATTACATACAAAACAATACTGATATAAGATTATAGGCATTCCTTAAAGTTTTTATCTAAATCTGAAATACGTGGTTGTGTGGCTAAATATATAGATATTCTTATTCCTCAGTTTGTTAGTTGATTTTTTTTTTTGTCTCATGAATTTGAACGACATTTGAGTTATATAGAAGTTTGAAATCCATAGAAGTGATTAGTAATTCTTGAGACATGTTTTACCAGACAGGAAGATTGAATCTGGTCCTTTTTTTTCCTGGGAACATAAGAATTGTGATGAAAGAAGAGTTAGAGCAGGCATCCCCAAACTTTTTACACAGGGGGCCAGTTCACTGTCCCTCAGACCGTTGGAGGACCGCCACATACTGTGCTCCTCTCACTGACCACCAATGAAAGAGGTGCCCCTTCCTGAAGTGCGGTGGGGGGCCAGATAAATGGCCTCAGGGGGCTGCACGAGGCCTGCGGGCCGTAGTTTTGGGACGCTTGGGTTAGAGAATCAACATATGTAAAGTAGCCAACTTTAAAAGAGTAATTAACTTATTGATTAAAATTTAGCAGTAGATGGCACTTCTCTGAATCCTAAGATTAAAGAGAAAATTAGGTGAAGTGCAGCATGTTTTTAAATAATCTAGTCACATGAAACATTCTCACTAGGATTTTATTCTCTCTGTATTTTGAGAAAATGAGGAGGCAGGCAAAATATTTGCTTACCAAATTATTAATACAGATGAGGTCTCCCTGTGTTGCCCAGGCAGGAGCATGGTGGCTGTTCATGGGCACAATCATACCTCACTGTAATCTCAGACTCCTGACTCAGCCTCCCAGGTAGCAGGGATTACAGGCACATACCACCATGCCCGTCTCTACTTAACTGAATTTTATAAAAATCCTGAAACAAGTAAGAAGAGTTTTGAAGAGTGGCCTTTTTACTTTTCTACATTACTTGTGAACTTTTTCCCATGACTTAGGGAAGGCCACCTTTATGTCCAGAAAGAAATCCCACATTATTGGATATTCTTTTGATACTGCTTGGTTTCTCTCCTGGCACATCTCTGTGCCCTTTTGGGGGATGTCTTCTTAGGTCATTTGCAGAGTAGAACTTTAGGGTCTTTGGGTTTCTTTCATGTCTTTGGGCTGATCATATAGTATTAAACTTGTAGTAATGTACTTTTATCTATTGTAAATTAATTTTTCACAACTTGTGCTAATTAATTTGAAAATAGGTATTGGATTTATTATTCAAGTATTTCATTTTTCCAGTTAACTTCTGGGATGGTTTTATGGTGAGTGGTAAGTAAAGCAGATGGTATTTGCTAGGTACCAAGCTTTGTAGCACATGAACTTTTGTAAACTCAAAGGATGGAACAGTCAATCAACTTGAAGTTGGCTTGTATGTTTGAATAATACTGATTGTTTTGTTTTTTCCTTTGTCATGAAGTTTATAGTTTAAAAGTGTGTATTTTTACTTTTTGAATAGGTAGTATATTCACATGGTTCAGAATTCAAAATACAGCAAAACCTAGCAATTCAGTTAAAAAATTAGTATGTAGGAAACAGTTTCCTCTTTATAATGCTTCTGTCTGCCTACTGTAAACCGATGATGACTCACATCTTTAATGATGCCTTTAGATCTGTGTGATCTTTTTGTATCAGAACAAATGTTATGTTTTTGTCTTTTTAACTAATAAGTAGTGCATCTGTATTGACTTTTTTGAGACCTGCATTTTGAAACAACTCATGATCCTTGTGAATCTAGATCTGTATTTTAATAATCACACGTGTAAGGATTCATATGTATTAACTTTGCTTTGATGCTCTTTGTGTTTGTATTTTCTCAATTTCTGTTTTCTTTGACTAAGGTGTAACCAGTTTAAAAATATTCTAGATATGTTTCATTATAATCATGAGGTACAGAGTTATTTCTTAATAATTTTTCCCATAAAATCCGTTTAGCAGGAATTAGTTTTTAAAGTACAGCTTCTTCAAAGCAACATGGTATCTGTCTTCGGAGATGACTAGTTTGGGCTTTAATTTCCTCTAGTAATTTAGCTCCTTAAAAAAATTGATTTTTGATTTAAAAATTATCAAGGAATTTTCAAATACATTTTAAGTGGAGAGAATGCTGTATGAATCCTTAGATGTGTGTTTCTTAAAACACATCCAGATTCACAGGGATCATAAGCTGTTTCAAAATTCAAGTCTCAAAGGAGTCAATTCGGATCACAGCTTATTAGTTAAGGCAATAATAAAACTTTTGGTCTGATGTGAAAAGATCAAGATAAATTGTTAAATAAAAAAAAGTGCAGAATAGTGCATATTGTACATCATCTTTTAAAAGAAACAAACTAAAATATATGTTCATACTTGCTTATATATGTTTAAAGTACCTTTGGAAGGATACAACAAGAAACCAATAAAAGTGGTGACCTGAGTTATTAGGAAGAGGATTGGAAGGAAACTTTGAACTCTACCTTTCTGAGGTTTATTTTTGTTTGTGTTGGCTGTTTGTTTATTTTTAGGAGACAGGATCTTGCTCTGTTGCCTATGCTGGAGTGCAGTGGCATGATCATAGCTCACTGAACCTTTGAACTCAAGTGATCCTTATTCCTTAGCCTCCCAAGTAGCTGGAACTATAGGCATGTGCCACAATGCCCAGCTTAATTTTTTATTTCTTGTAGTGATAAGGTTTCACTATATTGCATAGGCTGATCTCGAACTCCTGGTTTCAGGTGATCCTCCCTCCTCTGCCTCCCATAGTGCTGGGAGGCATGAGCTACCACATCTGGCCTTTTTAAAAAAATTATTTTTAGCTTTTTGAACCGTGTGAGTACTATATTAACAATGAATTTAAATTTTGTTTAAAAAATTTTGTATTAAAAATTGATTTAAAAAGAAAATATAAAATTTACAACTTGAAAATGTAGCCATTTTCTGAGGAAAACTTCTAGGTTTAGGTTGAAGGCCACAGAAGTTGTGGACTGAAAGGAATGAGAAATGTGCTTAAAAGACGGCCTTCTTCCTATCCTTGCTGCCAAGTGGCAGAGAGCTTATTTTGTTTTAACTTTTTTTTTCTCTTTTTCTCCCCTCCTGTTTTTTTTCAAAGGCTGGTGGGGTAGCAGGTGTTTCTGTTGACTTGATATTATTTCCTCTGGATACCATTAAAACCAGGCTGCAGAGTCCTCAAGGATTTAACAGGGCTGGTGGTTTTCATGGAATATATGCTGGTGTTCCTTCTGCTGCTGTTGGATCCTTCCCTAATGGTAAAATATTATATTGCTATTCTCACTTCTGTAAAGCCAAGATAAAATGGAATTTTCAGAATGGTGTATGGTCTTACCCACATAGAATTCCTTGTGTGTTGAAGCTTATATTCTGAATTTCCTTCTTTAACCTGATGTTATGTATTACTATTTTTTTAAGTCAGGGTCTCACTTTGTCACTCAGGTGGGAGTGCAGTGGTGAGCTGATAGCTCACTGCAACCTTGACCTCCTGGGCTCAAGCAACCCTCCAGCCTCAGCCTCCTAAGTAGCTGGGACTACAGGAGTGTACCACCATGCCCGGCTAATTTTTGTATTTTTTGTAGAAAATGGGTTTTGCCATGTTTCTTAGGCTGTTCTCAAACTCCTAGGCTCAAGCAATCGTCCACCTTGGGCTTCCTAAGTGTTGGGATTATAGGCATGAGCCACTGTGCCAGACCTAACTCATTATTTTTGAATCAGATAGTGTTACAGATTCTTATTTGTAATAGGGAAAAAAGTGCAATCTTTTAAAAATGGTTTTTGTTGTTCAAATTTCCAGCTAGAATCCTTAAAGTGTTATTTTAATGTTGTGATCCCTCAGAACAATCATTCCTACCTTTGCCTGCGCATTAGAATCCATTGGGAAGCCTTAAAAAAATACTGATGTCCTGTGTTATCCTAGAATTTTAATTAGTCTTGGTTTTGCCTGGGTATCATAAGTTTTAATAACTTCCCAGGTGACTACAGTATGAAGCCAAGTTTGATGATACCTGCTTTGAAGGTCTTAGAGAGCAGGTGAACCTAAGAGGCATTAAAGATTTCTATCCTAATTAAGTTGCTCTTAGATGATGCAAGTGTTTCTCACTAATGCGCTCCTGGATACTCTCCTTCCAGCAGCTTTTGTTTTGGTTCTGAAGTCATGTGACTTAATGACCCTCTTATTCTTTAGTCAGTACAATCTGTTTTGTTTAATCTGCTTCTTGGTATACTGTTTGCAGATACTTACTTTAATTGTTTACTGTTGGATGCCTCTAGTGGCATTCAAAAGTAGACTAAAGCAATAAAAAAATCACCACACATAAGACACACCCACAAAACCACAGCTCTAGAAGATTCTTAAATTCTGGGATTCACTTTTGTTTTTTGTGTGATAATTCATGAGAAATTTTACTCTTTTTTTTTTTTTTTAAAAAGGGGTTTCACTATGTTGGCCAGACTGGTCTTGAACTCCTGACCTTGTGATCCGCCCACTTCGGCCTCCCAAAGAGCTGGGATTACAGGCATGAGCTACTGTGCCTGGCAAGAAATTTTTACTCTTAAGCTGACATTTAAGTGTTGAATCTGTAAGCGTAACATTTATATAAAAATTTATAGTGCAAAGAGAAAAATACGTAGTATTTGTTTTTTTTTTTTCCTCCTGCTCTTCACCATCCCCCAGCCATCATTAGACTGGCAAACTCTTTTGGTAATCCTTGACTTTTTGTATAAGTTAATATTTGAGTAATTGTAACAAGTTGTTATTGAGCATCAACTCCATGCCAGGTATAGTTTTAAGTGTGGGAGAGGGGCATGGGTTCCCAAATTTGTCCACTTTGAAATCACCTGATTACTGAAGAGCTTAAACAAATACACTTGACCCTTGAGCAACGTGGAGGGCAGGGGTGCCAGTCTCTCCTGTGCAGTTGAAAATCAGAATGTAATTTTTGACTCCCCCAAAACTTAACTACTAAAAGCCTGCTACTGCCTTAATGATATTATAAATAGTTGATTAACACATACTTTGTATGTGTGTTACATATTAACATATATTTATGTGCTATATGTTTTATTTTTTATTCTTACTATTTTTTGAGACAGAGTCTTGCTGTGGTATCCAGGGAGTGCAGTGGTGCGATCTCAGCTCACTGCAACCTCCACCTCCCGGATTCAAGTGATTCTCCTGCCTCAGCCTCCCAAATAGCTGCAATTACAGGCGCACACCACTACACTCGGCTAATTCTTGTATTTTTAGTAGAGACTGGGCTTCACCGTGTTAACCTGACCTCACGTGATCCGTCTGCCTTGGCCTCCCAAAGTGCTGGGATTATAGGCATGAGCCACTGTGACCGGCAAATGTTTTATATACTGTATTCTAAAATCAAACTAGAGAAAAAATGTTATTAAGAAAATAATAAGGAAGAGAAAATGTATGTTCACCAAGTGGAAGTGGGTCATCAAAGTTTTTCATGTTGAGTAGGCTGAGGAGAAGGAAAAAGAGGAGTTGGTCTTTGTGTCTTAGGGGTGGCAGAGGCAGAAGAAGTAGAGGAGGTGGAAGGGGAGGCAGGAGAAGCAGACCCACATGGTGTATCTTTATGGAAATAAATCATAATTTCGCTCTCACTTTTTTGCTGTTTCTGTTCTCTAAAAATGATTTATGTGGTACCAATGCTTTCACCATTTGCTTTAGTTTCAGTGCCCATGTAGAAGAGTCCTTGTCATAAAAGAAATCAAAAGCAGTCTTTAATACTCAGAACCCTTCTACCAGATTGTCTAATGTCATTTTCTTTTCTGGCTTTCCTTCTTCTGTATTTTCCCCTCATCATTTGACACTGGTTTGGAAGCAGTCGTCTCCACCAAGTTGTTTTCTATTAAGTCTTCTGGTGTGGTGTCTGTTAGCTCTTGAATTTCTTTAAGATCTGTATTTTGAAACCCTTCCCCCACCCCCCCACCCCCCCCACCGCCCCCCCCGCATCCACAATCTCTCTTATTGTTTTCCTGATTGGCTCTGTCATGAATACTATGAAGGATTTGCTTGCTTCTCTTCCTTACTAGTAAATGTCCTTGTGAATTTTTCTTTTCCTAGAATAGGGCACTTTCATCTACATGAGAAACCTATTCAGGCAGATTTCCCTTCTCCTCAGTGATTTACTTAATGGCAGCTGAGAACTTGGTTACTGACTGATGGATGGCAGAAGCCTCTTCTCCTGTTATCTTGACATTTTTAAGCCAAATCTCTTTCTAAAATTATCAAACCATTCTTGGCTGGCATTAAATCCTTCAGCTTTAGATCCTTTACCTTTCTTTTTTGTCATGAAATTACTTTGCTTTTTCTCAAATCATTTTAGGGATAATAAATATGCCTTTATTATAGCAATTCTTTTCCCACATAAAAGCTGCGTTTTCAAAACAAGAAAAAAGTTACTTTGCAAAGTTGCAGAGCTGAGTTAATGAATTTCTTTTTCTCTCTCTCTATTTTTTTATATACAATAAATTAAGCTGTGTTCATTCATCTTGAAATGACCGTCAGCTGCAGCTTCAGGTTTGAGTCTGTAGTACCTAACAAGCAATTTTTCTTTTAATGTCATGACTCCTTTTTGCTTCTTAGGAGCTTTCTTGTAATGTCATGACTTCCAGCATCACTAGTGGCACTTTGTGGGTCCTATGGCATTATTCAGAGTTTGTGATATGGCACTAACCACAACAAAATATGCATAAGAACTGGGAGAGATCCTTTTGTACTATGATACGCAACTTATTGGGGGAGATGAACTGCTCTTCTGGAGATAGTGTCACATGACATTTTAAGTGGCCACTCTGCAACACCTGAACTCATTACAGCAAGAGGAGGTGGCTCAGAGATTACCTCAGTAGTATAGTATATGCTACAGTTAATTTTATGCAGTTTTGATTTAACACTCCACCTCTCTTTTTTTCTCTCTGAGACCGGGTCTCACTCCATTGCCCAGACTGAAGTGCAGTGGCATGATCTTGGCTCACTGCAACCTCAACCTCCCAGCCTCAGGTGATCCTCCCACCTCAGTCTCCCAAGTAGCTGGGACTACAGGTGTGGGTAACCACACCCGGCTAATTATTTATTTTTTTTGTAGAGACAGGGTTTCTCCATGTTGCCCAGGCTGGTTTTGAACTCCTGAGCTCAAGCCTCAGCCTCCCAAAGTGCTGGATTACTGGTGTGGGCCACTGTGCCTGGCCCATCTTTACCTTTGTTTACATTTCTCTCAACTATGAATGATGTGATCTGTGGTTTGTGTTTGTAAGTTTTGATAAATTTTAACTTTTTATAATATATTTTATGTTAGTATATGGTAAAATAGGCTAGTATTGACATATATTTTATGTATTAATGAGACAGCCTTAATTTTTTTTTTTATATTTCTAGGCTATGTGGTTCATTTATAAGTTTCTTCAAACTGTCATGAATCTGCAAAAAATTTGCCAATGTATTTATTGTATATTGGAATATTTGTATAAGTGAACCTGTGCATTTAAACTCATGTTCAAGGATCACCTGTACTGGTCCTTGTCACCTGACCCCAGAGATTATGACTAAATTGGTCTGAGGTATGGCCTGGGCATTGGATGTTTTTTTTTTTTTAAATCCCAAGATGATTGTTATATTTAGACAAGTTCGAGAACCTCTGAACTAGGGAATTGCAAAGAAGCATGTCACTAAGTCTCTATCTTTTGGTCACCATTTTTTTATGGTGTCTCCTTCATTTACATTCATTGTTCTAAAGATCTTTTTCTCTTATATATTGCACATAAAGATTATTGTGGGGAGGTGTACTATTAGCTATGGTGTGTAGGTTACATGGTGTTGTCATTAAGATCACAGGTTTTACATTCTTAGGAATTTACATTTAAAATGTGGTTTTGAATTTTTTTTTTTTTTTTTCATCCACCAAACTTCAGTGAATGGGAGATGCTAGGGAAAAGTCATAGTACCAGGGTTTCAAAACTAGTGTTGTTTTACTGCAAATTTTGACTGAATTGGACTTTTGTGTGTGGTGTCTTTTTTTTTTTTTTTTTTTTAAGGTTCTAATCTGAGTACAGAGCTTCACTGTAGTTAATCATCAGTGGCTGTGGATGTTTTTGTAAACCTGTGCTGCAGGAGTGAGGGGTTGGGGTTGAGCTAGAGGTACCAAAGATGGAAAGAGGTGAAGAGAAGACCCATGTGTTACTCCCTATTTCAAAGGGAATGTAGAGAAACCATATATATATATATGTTATGGATATAATTTTTTTTTCTTTTTGAGCTGAAAGAAATTATAGTTATGAGATAGCCCAGCCCCTCTTCTTTGCTTTAGCTTGTTCACTGCTCCCACTTGGAACCTGACTGTACCAGCATTTAGTAGAGGCCTTCTTGGATGCCCCTGGGGGGACGTGGAGGGAGGTTAGGAATCTGGAACTTACATTCTTAAAGGGATCATGTATGTCACAAAAGAAGCCATCAAGTTAGACGAGGTTGAGGTGGTTAGCCATGAAATGGAGGAAGTTTTACCACTGTCTTTCTCCCTTTCCTGGGGGTTAGGAGGGTAGGATGTATAGTGGCAGAACTCAACAGCTGAGTGCAATTGGTGGTATTATAACTGCACATTTAGTGAGTGGACAGAAGTGGGAAAATCATACGAAGAAACACAAATGGGAATAGGCTTGTGTTAACAACGTAAAACTGCCTGAACTGGTTATTATTCATGTATGGATGGCGTGCCTCTTCATTTGGCCTAGTGTATATTTCTTAGCATGTGAAGATCCTTTACAAGATTGTTGACTTTGGAGAACTGATTTTCCATATCAAGCTGTTTTCCTCAGCGTTTCAGACTTTAATTGTGACATGTTGAAATGTCCTTCAGAAGATGAATTTGTCATTCCTTTATCTCTTGTGCCTTATCTTTTATCCAGCTGATAAACATATATTGATTAACAGTACATAGAAAGTTTTAAAGCCCTCAGGGGCAGCTACCATCAGTTCATGGTGATTGAGGTAGCTTTTTAGAGATTTTGATTTCCAGTTTGAATTAAGCGGTTGACTGTTTTCTTGATGTAAAGGTGAATTTATCCAGTAAAAAAATAGCCATGGTTATTTTGTGTAACCAGCAGTAAAACGTTATAGAATAGGCATTTGCTTTAAGTTGAATTTCATGTTTGTAATTTTAAACTGTGTATTTATCAGTGTAGTTGATTGTTTTATGGCCACACATATTGTGGATCATAGAAATTCATATCCTGTTAATGTTGACTTTAAAAATGTTTAAGTAATTTTTCAGTATAATTGATAAGTGCTGGATTAGCTCATCTGCTCCCTCAGGGTAGGCATTACATTTTCTGTGTTTTTGTAAGTCTAAGATGAGGCATATAACATGGTCTCAGTAAATTCTGAAAAAGGAGGAGTAGGAAAAAAAGATAAGTGCTTATCACCTTTTCTGTTATCTCATAATTTAGTAATTATTGTCATACCTTTTGAGAAACATGTTTCTTAACAGTTTGAATATGTGTTTAAACTTTGTGAAAGACTGGCTTGTTTTAAATTTCAGCTGCTGCATTTTTTATCACCTATGAATATGTGAAGTGGCTTTTGCATACTGATTCATCTTCATATTTGACACCTATGAAACATATGTTGGCTGCCTCTGCTGGAGAAGTGGTAAGTAAGAAATACAAATATATACCATGTGTATAAAATACTTCAGAAATGCAAGTCATGCCTATGTTTTCAGTACATATTTCATTTTTAAAAAAATTATTTTTTAATTATGAAAGTCATAAATGCCAACAAATGTAAATGGGTTAAATATGACAGTTAAAAGATAGAGCCTCACAACTAAAAGAGCCTTAGATAGGACAGAAGCTATGTGTATTTACAGAGATGAAGCTATGTGTATTTACAGAGATAGATCTAAAACATAATTATATGGAAAAAAGAAAAAGAGGTAGAAGGTATCCATCCATGCGAATTGTGACAGCTTTGTATTGTGTCAGCACAACTGAGCTGAAACTGCTTTTCCCAGAATTTCCTTCTGAAGTAGTTTCAGTTTGGGTCAGCCACAAGAGAAATCTGCATGTTCTTTGTAAGGTAGAAGTGAAGTGGCTGCTGTATTTACGCTCAGAAGGTTGGCACATGGTCAGGCACTGTTGCAGCTCACACGCCCTGTCACTGACTTTTCTGTATTACCGTGTTGGCATTTGGCTTCCAGCTCCTCCAGCTCTCACTGGTTCTTCTCCATCAGTTTCCCCAAATTCTAGGTCAGATTTGTGGGGTCTGTGATGCAGGGTGCCAGCTTATACTGCAAGTTCTCTCACAGGCTAGTGGGAAATAAATGTGTGTTCTAGTCTGTCCTTGTTCTTCCCCCACTTCACATCCATCTTTCCTTCTCTGTTGCCTGCCCGTTGATTTCTTAGAAACAGCAGGAGCAGGGAGCCGCGGTGGCTCTGGCCAGTTGTCCTGCTGCTTGAGGAGGAGAGGCTATGCGTTCAAGACCAACCTGGGCAAAATTAAGAACCTCTCATTCATTTAAAAAAAAAAAAAGAGCAGGAGCAACCATATCACTTTTTTTTTTTTTTTTTTTTTTGAGACAGAGTTTTGCTCTTACTGCCCTGGCTGGAGTGCAGTGGCGCTATCTCGGCTCACCACAACTTCCGCCTCCTAGTTCAAGTGATTCTCCTGCCTCAGCCTCCCAAGTAGCTGGGATTACAGGCATGTGCCACTACGCTTGGCTAAGTTTGTATTTTTAGTAGAGATGGAGTTTCTCTATGTTGGTCAGGCTGGTCTCGAACTCCTGACCTTAGATGATCTGCCCACCTAGACCTCCCAAAGTGCTAGGATTAAAGGCATGAGCCACCGCGCCTGGCCACCTGCCTGTTGATTTCTACCCAAACACTAGATGCAGAAGCAACAGCCTTACACAAACTGCTTAATTAACGCCCATAATTGCTGCTCAGATCTCTATAATTCTTATCCTTATCACTAACAGTGATGAAACCTTAACTGATAGAGAAATACTACTTGAAAAAGAGTTTGTGGCATAGTATTAATATTAGGAAAAAATACGTCAGGCAAAAAACAGAGACCAGTGCATAATGATACAGGAACAGTTACTTCAGGAGCTGTAACAAGCCTGAACCTGTACTGAATAACATAGTCTCAAAACATGCGAAGCAAAAACGGGCAGAGTTTTAAAGAGAAATGAACAAAACTATAGTCTTAGTTGGAGATAGTCACATCTCTGTCTCAGAGCATGAAGAACAGGTGGGCATAAACTTATTAAGGCCATAGAAGGTTTGAACAACACATGGCAAGATTGGCCTGTTGATATATGTAAAACTTTGCACCCAACAAGATTAACTTTTTTCAAGCATAATCAGAACTTTAATAAAAATAATAGCCCACAGGGCAAGTTTTATTGAATACTGCAGAGACAGTGTCATTATAGATCATTTGTTGTGTCATTATAATGAAGTAAAATTGGAAACAATGACAAAAAACAGGCAGTCTGTTCCTACTATGTGTTTAAAAAACAAACTCTTTTGTAAATAATTTGAGTTGAAGTAGAACACAATACTGTAAGTGGTAGGTATAAGTGATACTTTTGTTTTTATTTTTGAAGAGTTGGGGGTCTCATTATGTTTCCCAAACTGGTCTCAAGCTCCCAGCCTCATGTAGTCCTCTTGACTCAGCCTCTCCAAAGTACTGGGATCACAGGCATGAGCCACTGTACCTGGCAGAAAGTGATATTTTTAAACCAAAATCATAAACACGGTTATGTTTTTTTTTTTTAAACACCTCAAAACTAATGCAGAAGAGAAATGTGTGATACAAATAAAAGTTTCTTCATAACCCTCATTAACTTACCTTTCTCCCTACCCTTTCTGCACAATACTGAAGGACAGACTTGTCTGTTGCTTATTCATGTTATTTTCAAATCACACAGCCCGGTAGTCATGCAGTTCTATTACCGCCCCCCCCCCCCCCGCCAGCCTTGTGATGGGCATAATAGAAATGGACAACACAGTGAAGAAAAAGTCTTCGTTTGTAAACCTTTTAGCAAATCACATTTTTCCTTGTTATTAGAACAGTAATGGCATATGTTTATGTAGAAAACTTGGGAAACGAATTAACCTTTATAACATTTACATTAAAAAATTGTGTTATATTGTGAATTGGTTTTTGATGCAGTTTTTTTCTTTAGAAAGTTGGGACGAGAATTTACAAACTGCTTAGTAACCTAATATTCCTTGCTTAAGAATGTAGTGAATTGGGGATATGAAGAAAAGAGGTAACAGAAAAGTAAAAATTAACATAAAGGAGATAATTTTTTTAAACCAGTTTTATTGAGACATAGTTGGCATACCATATAGTTCACCCATTTAAGGTTACAGCTCAGCAGTTTACACCATAGTCACAGAGTTGTGCAACCATTGCCAGACTCCATTTTAAAACATTCGTCACTCCCCAAAGGAAGCCCTTACCCATTGCAGTCACAATCCCCACTTCACCCCAACCCTCCCCACCCCTAGGCAACCACTAGTCTACTTTCTGTCTCTATGAATTTGCCTTATTTTGACATTTCATATAAATGGAATCCTACAATATGTGGCCTTTTGTTACTGACTTTTTTCAGCTAGTCTAGTGTTTTCCAGGTTCATCCGTGTGGTAGCATCTGTCAGTACTTTATTCTTAAAATTATTTTTGATGATTACGTTCTGACGTTGCAGTCTCATTACTTGCAGTTAGTTTGGAGTATGTATACTTATGTTTGTTGAACGTTGTTGAGAGCAACCAGCAAAAAAAGAACCTGGCCACTTCATTTCACGTGGGGCTATCTTGCCTGAAAGCTAGTTTGCCATGTTGAAGGGCAGGCTTTCTTCAGTGTATAAACTTTCTGTCCAAGAAAATAGAAAGTGATATAATAGGTAGGGCAAATAGTAGCTATTAGATTTCTCATGTTAATCATATCTCTTTTATTGGTAAAAAGTCCTGTTCTACAAATACTCTAATTCTAAAAAATTCTAATGCTCCTAATATTTGTAACTAATATTTAAAAAAATTGGAGCCTTGGAAAAATGCTCAAAGTTTTTAAGATTTCCAAATACGATGTCGTAACTTTTGGCATGTGGAGTGTTAGGCATGGGAGGTGGGGTAGGTAGACTTTAGATTAGGAGACAAGTATTCATGAGACTGAAGTTAAAACAGATAAGGACATTCTTATTGGATTATGTCTCTTGGGGGTTCCTTGGTCCCTGAATTGGTAACGCCAAAATATCAAACATCTGTTTATAGTTTTCATGGAGCTGGGCTCTTGGTAATTTGCCCAATGTTGGCTTCAGACTCTTGGCCTCAAGGGATCCTCAGTAGCTGAGACTACTGGTGTGTGCCACCAGGCGTGGCAATTCTTAGAGAATCTTAAGAGGACAATTGGGAATGTAGATTGAGGACTTTTCATATGAAGTACTTCTTGATGTTCACACACACACACATTTACAAATGAATGAATGGTGGGGTCTCACTGTCACTCAGGCTAGAGTGCAATGGTGTGATCATAGCTCCTGTAGCCTCTAACTTCTGGGCTCACGTGATCCTCTCACTTTAGCCTCCTATGTAGCTGGGACTATAGCTACCTGGACATGGTGGTGTTGCAAATACCACCATGCCTGGCTAATTTTTTAAAACAATTTTGTAAAGATGGGGTCTCACTATGTTGCCCAGGTTAGTCTTGAACTCCTGCCCTCAAGCAGTCCTTCCACTGTGACCTTCCAAAATACTGTGATTCAGTCGTGAGCCACTGCACTCTGCCAGTATTGACCTTAAGTGGACTTTAAATTCAGTTACGGTTTGGTATGCTAAGAAGTTTGCCAAATTTATGAAGTTTGTGGATATATTGGTTCTGATGCTCTAATAATTTTTGAACTAAAAAAAAAAAAAAAACTTCCTGAAGCCATTCAGTTACAGTTTTCTTAGTAAGTGCTCATATACCTATTACTCTTCTTGTTTTAGTAACCTGTTTCATTCTCTTAGAAGATAAACTTTTGATTTCAGATTCATGCAAGTATGGGTGCTAAGATTAAGATAAACCAACAGGTGAATTTAGAGGAGATACATTTTCATTTGTAAAATAAAAAGAAATAGGAATAGAAAACATTTATAGCTGTCAGTGATCACAAAGGTATGGTAACCTAGAGATAATAAGAAATACTTTAGTGCAATTATTATTCTGTAACACATTTGCTTTGATATATGGTAATTATGTTACAGATTCCTTAGAAACAATAACATATTTTATTGGTATTGAATATAGCCACAGTTACTTTCTTGAAGCAACTATGAAGGAAACTTAGAAACAAAAGAACACTGCCCAAAATAATAACCATTCCCTGTAGCAACAGCTTGATTAAAACTTAATGATCAATCAATAAAACTATAATTACAACCTTCTACCTTATGTTTGCAATTTGGAATACAGTCATATCAATATTCCCTTCAAATAAGATTTAACATGTAACAATAGCAAGAAGGGTCCCACTTGTGCCATTTTTATTACGAAGATTGTTGTGCCAAATCTCTAAATCCCTACCTCAATAATTTTACAGCTCGGTTTTCATCACAGACAGAAAAAGCCCTTTGAGAAGTAGAATCCATAATTAGATCAG